ATTATTGAATAAGTGAATGAATAATAAGTGAAATTATAAAACTATTTATAATAATCTTTTCCTAACTAGAATGAGACTAAGAAATAATAATATAATAGAATTAAAAATTCTAATAAGAATAAAAAACTAATACTAATAATATTGAGAATACTAATTCTAATATAAATATACTAATAAGACTAAAATCTTGATAATAATCCTAGAAAATATAATAATAGATTATTAAATACTATAGTTGTTTACATATAATATAATTATAAATTTTAATTTATTTAGGATATTTAGTACTAGCTCATTCAGTATCGATCTCCCCTGGTTGGAGAAAACTGATCCATAGTATAGTTGTTTTACATATTATATAATTAATAATAGACTTTTTTTTATGTCATCCCCTATAATTATTATATCATCTACATAAGTATTGTCATTTTTCCTGAAGGATCATACTTGATAAACATAATATGATCTGTTTGGCATTGATAATATTCAAACCTCTTGACTATCTTAATCAATTTGTTGAACCATACTAATTTTAACCTGAATTCCTAAACTCCCCTAAACATAAATGAGATAATGCTCAATGCATTAAAGCCTTTTGATGTGTTGTCTTCTAATCCTTCTTAATGTAAGATTCTTTTAGTTCTGAATCAACCGATGTAGGACAAATTAAGGTAAATTTGCCTACTTACAGATTTGGAAACAAAAACTGATACATTACATTTAGGATTTCTTAGACATCACATCTAAAAATCTTAAACTTACTGCCTAAGAGTTTGATTATACCACACGACTAGAAAACGGAGAAACTCTAAGAGCTTTTTATTGAATATTTGAATAATCATCTAAAAGATATTACACAAGTATTTATAGAGTGCCAATTAATTCTTTCCCAAGTAAAATTAGACTAAGAAATATCATGACTAAAAATATTAGAAATTCTATTCATAATAAGACATGAAATACTAGTGCTAATAATATTAAAAATAAAGCAAATCAGAGAAACTAACCACTAGTGAGAATGAAATTTTAAAATTACTAAAGCATAATAATAAACTCCTAAATAATACAGTAGTTTTATATCTAATAGATGAGTAATTTCTTATTTATTTATGCAATTTAAAACTAATCCATCCTGCATCAATCCTATTCGAACATGCTACCATTATACTAAAGCTAAATATAATATAATAGAGTGAGCAACAAGCGCATATGCGCAAACATAATATTTTAATGCAAAACTCAAATGCCCATCCTAACGATTTCACAGTATATCCAAAATTCATTTATGCCAGCTACTGCCTAAACACGGCCGAGTGATGAACAAACAACTTTATATTGCAGAAAACAAATTATTTCAGACACTTTTTTTTATGGAGATAGAGGAAAACATCATTGGAGGAGGGAGGGAGCAAAGAAAAAATGTGACTCTTGATAAGAGATAGCCAGCAATTTAACCTGAAGGCACACATGAAAATACCTGAACTTGGATAAACCCATCTTCGTGGCTAAGAATTTGAAGTGACAGGGTCCCTTGAACATCAAAGTCACTGACTCCACCGTCTCTTTTTAGTGTTACAATGAGCTTCTCCTCAACAGTTAAAGTGATGGGATCAGTTGGTGGTAGAGCTGCAGATTTCGACACACCAGCTTTTGGCTGCACATCTTCATAAATAACTTCACCTTCTGCTTTCAGAGACTCCAAGAACTGGTTTGTCCTTTGAGATTTACCAAGCTTCATGCCAAGACCTTTAGGAGGAGCAGTAGCAGATGATGGAGGACGACCTGGTGACAGGAAGAACTCAAAAAGGATTTTCTCCTATCAATAAACCCACTCATCAAGAGCACAGTTTTTTGACATTAAAGCAACATGACCAAGGATTAAAATCTCAAGATTTACTACTTGCTATTTCATAAAAAACAAGACATTGGAGAAATTATACCATTTACAAGGCCACGAACCTTTAGATTTGGCAGAGAAGGAGTCAACTTCATTGCTGATTGCAATCCCAGAACCACTACCAAAGCCACCACCTCCACTAGAAATGCTCATATCACTAAAGCTACTTTCTATTCTTCCAGACCCCATTGCTTGCAAGGACATAAATCCTCCTTTATCACTTCTATTCTTCTCAATCTACAAAATGTAAGCGATCAAGTTAGTAGGATCCGCAAATACAATAAAATAATGGAATGCAAAAAGGTAGTGTAAGAGCCATTCCTTAGCCCTGAAAAAATACCTTGCTTTTGTCAATCTCACTGGCTTTGCGCTTCATAACATCCTTTGTTTCATTGATCTTGCTCTGCATTACCAGTTTGTGCAACTTCTCTTCATGACTCTCCATCTCACAGTATTGCTTAACCTGGGCAACAGTCACATTCTCCTTGTGCCCCAGGGAAATGACTTCATCAAAAGCAAATATCAGCTCAAAAGCAGTCTTGCAAATGCCTTCTTCATCTAAAGACATGGAATACTCAGGTACCTAGATAATCTTAAGGAATCAGAAATATCCCCTATTATCACTAAAGCATGATATATATATATATATATGTAATTTAAAACAAATGATGTTTCACCTTATTGAAGTAATTTTGAAATATAAGCACCAACAGTTTAATAAGAGGTAGAAATTAGAATAGGTCCATGAAAGAAAACTATTTAGGTCCTTGCTGCTACGTGTAAAAATTTAAAAACCATACCCTCAGAAGATATGCTTATGTATGCAATAAAGACAACTTTAGAACATAAACATGTAACAGAAAAATAGTAGAAGGATACAAGCTTTGAAAGTAGCCTTAGAGTCTCCAAATCTTCAAGAATGTTGCTTTGCTTGTTTGTTACAAGTAACAAGTACAAAGCTTCTATTGGCTGGTAAACATAGCGGACATTCTCAGTCTCAACATATGTATGTTGCATTCCTGTGCCCACCAACTTTGGGAAAGCAGCAAGAAGACCTTCAATTCTAATGCGAGACATATCCACAAACTGCCTGGACACAAGAACTGCAGAACAAAAATAGGATAAAGAAAGAAACTCAACGGATGTGGTGCATTTATAATGGAAACATCTTTCTGTTTAATAACAAAAGAAGGTTTTTCATTTTCTTACTGGAATGTTAAAGATATTTCTTCTTTATTTTCTTTCATATCTGCCTTTTCTACTCTCATTTTCCATAAGAAAAAAGAGAAAACAATCTGTTCAGTTAATAGAATTCCAAATGATTTCTCAAATGTAAAAACCAAAGGCTTCTTACTCTCCGGTACTAGAAAATAGGGAAGAGAAAATGCATTCTCCTTCTTATTGTGTATGTGGAAAAGAATTCCAAAAGAATAAATATCAATTCATCAACTAAAGATGTTTTGCCTGCAGAAAACATTTTAAGGAAAATTTTCTTTTAAAACACCTTCTCTTCAAAAACTAAACACATCCAAAAATTCTGTCCTAAAATTGCACACTAGCTACCTGAGGAATAACAAGACCTTGAAAGGGCTTAAAATGACTTGGCTTGATGTTTGTCTTACAAATCCAACCTCCAATTCTACTCTAACTTAAAGACAAGTCGTAAGAGCATAAACACAGTCTAACTATTCTAAGGTTTGCTATATTCTGGTGCCTGTGAGAACCCATAAGATCAGTAAAAGACATTATTATCATATATCTCAGCGCCAAAGTCCTGAGTAAGGAACATAATGACAAATGGTAGAGACAGATAACTTTCAGAAGAAAACTCCAGCAAACGAGTAGATAACTCACCTTTACCAGACTTGCTCACTATAGATGCAGCAAGCACAACCTAAATCACGTAAAAGGTAAATAAGATGCCAACAATCCACTGAGAAAGGATAACATAGCACTTAAAAGCAAAACATGAAATTACACTTAAATTCCCAGGTCACTTAACTTCACTCTGATTGTCAGGTGAAACAGCCAAGAGCTGATTGAAAAACATGTTCATATCGTGGAAAATATGTTATGCAGTAACAGAGTACAAAAGTCTAAGAACTCAAAGCGTTAATAATTAAAAATGCAATAATGCAAAAATTGAAAATGCAGTAATGCAAAAATTCATAGATATTTAACTAACATAAGATTACAAATTTCACTTGAAATCCTAATTAACAGTAAATAAAACTGACAGAGTATATTATACTAAGGGGCAAAAATTACCATCTTCGTTTATCAGGCAAAAACAACCACCAACTGAAAGACAATACCCACTGTTGTGCAAATAACCTAGAAACATAAACTTGGGTTAGCACCACCAAGTTAGAGTGCAAAAAGAATCAGCAAAAATTCAATCCAGAGAACAAATAGATGTAAGAAGCAAGAATCATCAGTCATTTCAAGTCCCAGCAACCTAATTATTTTCAGAGTATAAACTACATGCTCGCACAGAGAAGAGATACAGCATATAGCTTTCAAATTAACAGACACATCATCAGCTCCTCTTTCTATAAGTAAATGAAAGCACCATTTTACATTAGCAGCTCAAACATATGCAACATAAGTGTGTCAAATCTTAATGTACTTGATAAAAAAAAATCAGACACTTGAATCCCGATTAAATTCAGTTGGAGAAAGCAAGGAAAAATACGTAAAATATACAGAAAACACACATTATGTAAAATTAGATTTAGATGTCCATGATTTGAAAATAAAGAAGAAAGCGAGATCCAAGAGCACGAAACAAAAACTAAACCGCTCCAGATCTAGGTATTAGCACAAACTTCAGATTCATTGGTTGTATGAGATGCTTTCTGCCTCGATTCTTCAATGAATAAATAATGAGAAGATTAAAGAAAATAAGAGGAATTCCAAAATTGTTACCGTCGTATCTTGGATCTGCTTGAGAAAACAAACCATTTCACTCACCTAAGCCAAATTCAATTGCACACGACCCACCCTGGTCTGAATTTATTTCATTACTTAACTAAAAAAACAAAACTGATTAAAGAAGCGACCACGTAATATAAGTCCAGATTGCAGCAACATAATAGGAAAAACAGGGAACGTCAGGAAGGAAAAATTAAGAAGCGGATGCTAGATGCCAAAACGATCATTACAAACCAAAACCTCGGAAAGATTTTATCCAAAGAAGCCGACTACAGCTAAGTGAATCATATCATACCAAATTTACATATGAGACTAGCTATGAGAATTCGAAAAGAAATGGAGTGAATAACTCACTGATATTAGAGTAGCGCGAGACTTTACGATTTAAATCTGATAATAAACTTACTCGATCCACTACTCCGTTGCAACACTTTCAACAGCAACGACGAAGAAGAGTGTTACAGAAGAAGAAATGCTTACTTCAATATGGGCATTCGGTGGGCTGCATTCCATTTAAATTTGGGTTGTAACACTTGGAAACTTCGGCTCGGCTAGAGCTCTTGATGTTTGTTTCAGCCTTGTTTACACATGATGATTTTTTTTAAAAATTTCTACTTATTTTATTAATTAATTAATTTATGTTTTTATAAACAAAATATTTAAGATGCCACAAAGAAAAATTATGCTTCTCCAGAATAATTTTTGGATGAGAATTTAACAATTCCATGGACAAGCCCATTAAAGTTCTAGTCCAAACCATTTTATGTTACAAGTTGATAGATAAGAGTAATGTTTACTATCTCTGTGTACGTATTATTGCTTAACACAACAAATATATATATATATATATATATATATACGTACTTCATTATTACTAATGGTTACCAAATGGTTCAAAGTTTCATGGGTTGGACAAAGGAGATATACCAAGACAACACATTATATATATATATATATATATATAGGAATCTCCTTGTCATAAAAAGAGAAATGCATTCGATTAGTAAATCCACTTGGTAGCTCAATCTATTGATAATCGTAAATAATTAAAGAGAAAGTTCTTTAAAACAACAAATATAATTGAACTTATTAGTACAATAATATAAAGAAAAGATAATCTAGTTATCCCGACATTATTTGATAGAGAGCTCCTTACTTATCAAAAATTTCAACAGTTGAAATATCTATTTAAAGCACACATTATGAGCTATGTTAACATTATCAAACATTTCTTCTAATCTTTGCACGTCCAAAAAAACTTGCTACTAGCGTGAATAACATAAAAATTAGCTTACACAATTTGAGCAATAAAAAGTTTTATTGTCTGTCATTGATCGATGAGGAAAAGTTAACTAGGCAAGAAAATATGATGCCAACAAAAGGTGATTGTTATTGGTGTTGCCTCTACAAAATATATATTAAATTTTATTTGATCACTTTATTTATTTATAATAATATATAACATACAATTATTGTTAAATATATACAGACAAACTAAGATAATCATAGATTATATCCAACATGACGATAATTAAATGCACCATATATGATATGAATAAAGTTTTCAGTTTGGATATAAATTTAAGTTGACAGCAGTTCATTATTTTTCACACTCTTGAATAAACTTGGTGCATTCATGAATTTACTAGCAATTTCTTTGTTTTATTTTCAATAATAATATAGGAGGATATAAAGATTAATGCATACCTACTTCCAAATGATTCATCTTCCCTGGGTTCACAACTAGATTCTTGATTGACTATAAAAATGTGTTGAATTATAGTATACCCTGGCAAACCATCAACTTTGAACATTTTAATAGAAGAAAATTAGAATATGCAAACATAAATTTCAAATGGCTGAAAGAATTTAAAATTATAATGTCAAAGCCAATGCAACTAACGATCATGGTTGGAGATTCAAAATTTTGAGAACAAGAGTACAACGATGCAATTATAAAAAAAAGGAAAGACCCACAGTAATCATATTTTTATAAAATAGAAACCAGACTTCTGTAAATGTCCGAAAATTTGTGAGCTCAAGTATCATCATCACAAACAACAACACTTAGACTACTTGATAATTTTCTGTGATCAGTTGCGTTCTCTGAGAAAACTTGGCTGGCGGTCCACCTCTGACAGGGATGATATTTGCAACCTACAAGAATGTAAATTTAGAATTGTCTGCATTCTATTGAAAACAAAAATAATGAGGAAACACATTTGAAAAACCAATCTATCAAGAATCAAATATGCTTGTAAGATCTAAAAAGTCCTCTACTTAAGGAACCTGCAGCCATGATAGAACTTCATTATAAATCATCCTTTATCACATAGAAGGGTAAGAGAGATGATTAGGGAATTTTAGAGAGAGAGAGAGAGAGAGAGTCAGAGTGTGCGTGTGTGTTCAACTGCATAACCACCAAAAAAGAGTTTTGATTTGAAGTTCCCAGCGCAAGGAATATTTACGTTTTAGGGTCCATTTGATGCATGAAAACATGTTTTAGTTTTAGTTTTCAAAAATTTCAATGCATTTGTGCATGTTAAAGACATTAGTAGCAATATGGTTGTGTGTATGCAAGTATTAGAAAAAGTCAGTCAGAATACTAAAAGCAATCTTCTATTTTCTTAAACTCGTACCATGTTTTCAAATATCATTTTCTAAAAATTATTTTCACATGTTTAATGCAAATGGAGTTTAAGATCTTTTGCATGATAAAATTAGAAGGGAAACAAGACTCAGTATCTAATGTTGGTCATCATATTCAATATGTTGGATTTAATTAGTGGCACAACCAAATAAACAGTACCATACGGAAAAATCCAAAAGCAAATGAGAGGGATCATAATGCTTGATAGCATTAAAGAATATTCCTCGGTACCATTGCATAAGTTTGTTCTATAATATAAACAGTATTAACAACAAATCATCTTAATGGAAGAAAGCAGCACTTCGTAGAAAGCTAAATATACCTTCAGATTACTGTAGGTACTAGTGGCTGAAAACTGCACAGAAATGGGAAAGAACGCTGAGGAATCTGCTGGTGGCACAACAAATTCCATTGATCCACTGTCCCATAACCAATAGTCAGTAAGAAAACCACACTAGTGCATGATAAATAGGTTGCAAAATAACACTAAAGGTGATAAGACACATTATTGGCCTGACCTGCGGTTAGAATTATCAATGAGAAGTACGGACCACTCTAGAATAGAATTTCTGGAGTCATACCTGCAAGTCAAAAGTACAGCAGATATTAAAGTGCTAAGCATGCAAAAAACACACAAAAAAAGAAAGAAAAAAAAACCAACAATTAGAGAATGCCAGAAACAATATACCACGATAAGTACTACATGTCCTTATCACAAAATTTAAGCTCAATTTATATCTTAAATTTCTGAATTGCAAAGGAAAGGCCTAACCGTTGGAACCCTTAAAATGTCCAAACCAGTAGTTCCAGTGTACAGTCAGCTATTCTAGTAGCTGCCCAGAATCAACTAAGATTTTCTTTAGACTACTACTTAAACCAATCAAGTAAAGCAATAATCAACTCCGTTTTAATAAATCAGTTAGACAATTAGTACCTATGTCATTGGTTGATATTCTATTTTCCCCTGGACATTAGAAATTTATAGCAACCATTTTCATGTATATCCAAATCTCAAAGGAGTAAAAGAAAAAAGGACTATCCAAAAGCAGCTTTTAAATGTGTATGCTGCAGTATCTTTTGAATTTTAATTTTCTAAAAAGCCAAAGCTTTTGAATTTGTATGCTGAAACATATATTGAATAAAAACAGTTTCTGATTGCAACTACATCCCAAGTCATTCAAATATTTACTCTCAGACCCTGATAATATCCAAGTTTCTGACCTCCATTCCCCATCTATTTGTCTGACATTTGGAGCCTCTCGAACAGCTGGAAGAGGTACGGAAATTACAACATTTCGTAAATCAAATGCTGATGAAGCTTCATATTCGATGCTAACATATGTCTCATTTCCAGAAACAGAAGGCCAGCAGTTGACTGCAACAGACCAAGTTTTAGATGATAAGAACAAATAACAGAAATCTACGGAGAATAGCAGCATTTAATGCTTTAAAACTCACTAGTTAAGGGAACCATTGACTCATCAACACTTTGCATTCTCCATTTCAAAAGGCCAACTCCTGCTGCATCACCGGATTGACCAGTAGGAAAAGACCTGTTGGGGTCCTTTAAGCCAAGAATATTTTCATTCGCAAATAATTCTTTGTTCACGTTGGGGTGTGTCTTGAAAAGTATGCCTGGATTTTGCCCAGATTCAATCTGAAGATAAAGCTTGTAAACAATTGATTCAAAGAAAACATAGCATAGAATCAACTATCAATGAGATGAGCACCATATAAACCACTATTAACTTACAAGATCAAAGCACCAAACAAATTATTACTTGAAATTCACAATGCAAACCTTATGCATTCAGCAAACATAGAAATGTTAAAAATGTCAACTGGTACTTTTGACAAGGCTTTTAAATAGAGCCGAAGAGGAAAAGATTACAAAACAGTTAAAGCTTCATATAGGTTTGTAAATTTGCACGAAATTTGCATATTGTATCAGGGAATAGATATTCCCATCTGCAGGGATGATATAATATTGACATTATGCTCAATAATCTAAAAATCATTAATGTGCTTTCTTTGCTTAATCTTTTTTTTCTCTTTTCATAGAAGAAGAAATTTTATTGAGCATAGAGAGAAAGAGAAATACAAATACGAAGAATAAGATATCCTCCTCAAGGAGTCAAACTAAAAGCAACCATACATGCAAAAGAGTTATCCAAACAACAAAAACGTGCCTTCTTGCTTAAACTTTTTTTCTTTTGACAGAAGAAGAAATCTTATTGAGCACAGAGAGAAAAACAATTGCAAATATGGAGAATAAGACATCCTCTTAAAGAAGTCAAACGAAAAGCAACCGTACAAGCAAAAGAGTAATCTAAACAACAAAAATGATGCGTCTTAAGGGCCAAGAATAATGGTCTTCCAATTCGCTTGGAGATCGGACATCATGATGTCTGAGTAGTTCTGTGGGCCTTGGCCCATAAAGTTGCAAAAGAAGTTACTCTTTCCCACACCTCATAGAAGAAGGTATAGCAGTTATTTGAAATCTTAAAATTTTGTCAAGCCATAAGCTCCATAACCTTGAGCTCGCAACAGAGGTCTCACTCCCTTTCTCACCCTCTTCCTTCAAATGTATGAGGATAAAAAGCTCTCTGTTGTTAGAG